GGCCAGAATTCCAGATAGAGGAAAGACCATAAACATACATCTGAAGGTGGACGTATGCTGGATATACATGAGAAACACTTTGGGCACAGGCCAGAACCTCTTTCAGGGGAGTTTATGTAGTTAGTGGAATTTTTTCCTTAGGACAAACCTACCCTAGCTTCCTGCTCTTCCTCACCTGGACCGCAAGAACCATAGAAAGGGATCCATTTATAAGCATTTATATATGAAGTCAAGTCCAGCTGCTGGGCCTGGTGTAACAGCATCAATATTAATTTTCTGAATGCAGTAAAGATGCATATGTGGAAAGAAAGATTTGGCTGGGCTGGGTGCCAGTGGCTCATGCCTGTAATCCTAGCTACTCAGGAGGCTGAGATCTAAGGATCATGGTTCAAAGCCAGTCCAGGCAGGTAAGTCCGTGAGACTTATCTCCAAAAAACCACCAGAAAGCCAGAAGTGGTGCTGTGGCTCAAGTGGTAGAGTGCTCGCTTTGAGCTGAAGAGCGCAGGGACAGTGCCCAGGCCCAAAGTTCAAGCTCCATGACAGACAAAAAAAAGAAAGGAAAGAAAGAAAGAAGGAAGGAAGGAAGGAAGGAAGGAAGGAAGGAAAGAAAGATAGATTTGGCTGGGTGCTGAACACTGAATCAAAAAATATACAAAAATGCAAATGGCCAGTCATTCTCCATTGCTGGACAGCTGCTTCTGTTGCCAATAATTTGATGTTTCACCTAATCTAGTCCCCTCTCAGATGGAAATGATGAATGGAGTAGATGCCTTTGCCTATACACAGTACAGACAGAAGCGACCAATGACTCATTATCTTGAAGTGTGTCCCCCAAAAAGCAACCAAAAAACATGCGGACACGGGGGAATATGCTCCTATTCCAAGAATAGAAGTCAACAACAAAAAACCCTTGGACTAGCATCTTTGTGAAATAGCCAGGAAAACAACTTGGAGGCAATTGATATATTTGTAAATGTGCACATTTTTACAGTAAACATTACCATTATGTGATAGGCAATTGATGCAGGGATGAGGGAGACAATCACTAATTAAATGAATCTTTATAACAACTCTATGAAGAAAAGCATTATTCCCCCACTTATATACAAACTAGGAGTTAAGACAATTTGACACAGGTCCTTTTCTGAGTAATTTATATAGCAGTGCCAGCCGCACTATAAATTATTTCAAGGTGTTTTTTGACATTGCTTTACATCATATCTGTATCTATCATCATAATTAAAATATGACCTATTTAAAGAGGTTTAAGTACAATTAAACAATACAATGTTTTTTAAAGCACTAGCTGATCACTCTCTTTTATAAAGTGACTTTTTAAAAATCTCTCTCATTTTTAAAATACTTTCCCAAAAGGAAACAGAAATATTAGCTTCCTTTTTTTACTGCTCCATTAATTGCTGTAGGGTTTTACCTGAGGAGATCAGAAAGCCCTCCAGGCAGACACCATTGATCCAACTCTAGTGTCATTAGGTGCCTGTCCACATGTGTGATGTCAGAGGGAAGAATTTGTTCCTGGGAATCACAAAGCCATCATCCATCTGACACCCTAGGTTTTGGTGGGCTTTCCACCTGCAGGGCTTCTCACAAATGTCTTCCTTGGCCTGTTATTATTTTTTAATTGCTCACAGGATGCTTCTTACTCGCAAATTTCTTGCCAACTAAGATCATCAGTGCTACCACAAAGGAGTCTCAGGAAACTGATTAGTAATTTCAGATTGGCTTTTTGGATGTGAGGTAGGGTATAGGCTATCAGAGTTTCATCCCAAGGTCACGGAATCTGCTGGTCCTTTTGGAGATACAGTATAAGGCCACTTCCAGAGAATATATTCAGGACCAAACGTAAGAAAATAAGTTTCGTGTAAGATAAAAATAAAAGAGCACTTTGGTGTAGAAAGTGTTGAACTAAGTAAGTGAATGTGGCAACACATGTCTGTGCTCTCAGCTGCTTCCTAGGCAGAGGTAGGAGTATTAAGATCCCAGTCCTGCCCAAGCAAATTTAGCCAAGACTCAATCTGAAACCCAAAACTAAAAGCAAAAGGACTGGCGCATGGCTAAAGTGGTAGGGTGCTTGCCTAGCAAGCATAAAAATTCTTGAACTCACATCTCACCCAAATGCCAAAATAATCAATAATAATTTTGGTAACATACATTCTGTCTTGTTCAAATATCCCTAAGTAACGTTGGGTTTTTAGCCAGTTCCCCAAGTGACAGAAAAAGGAAAATAAAAGAGCTTATTTAAAAAAATTGTTATAAGTAAAATGCCTCTCAAAAACATGCATACTGCTGGATTTCAGTAGAAACTGGAATCAGAGGCCCAAACACCATCGGGAAATTCTCCCTTAACACCCAGGCACCTCCCTTCTCATGGTTTCTAGCCTTCTGTGGCAGTACAAAATGAGTGATGGCCTATACAGTTGTATCCTACCACCACCACAATCTAAGAGACAGATTGCTTTGTCCAAGTTCTGAATTCCAGAAAGAGCTGAGACTGGCTGAGTTCATGTTATGTACCTACATCTGGACCAATTAATTATCTATTGACAAGTGCTACATTTTATCCTGACTGTTGTAACAATATAGATGGGGGTGGGTAAAGTGGATAGCTCCTAGAAGGGGATGCATTAATAGGAAAAAGTTCTAAGATGGAAAAAAAAGCCTTGGTGTCCATACAAGAACATACAAAACACATCAGCCACTCTAGCTAGAAGAATAAGAATCATGTACAGAGGTTCTTACTATGCAGATTTTCATACATATTACAAGACCATATATATATTAAAGAAAAAAATAAAATGTCATTAGTGGCAATAAACATAGTGTATTGTAATTTTCAGAAGAAAATACAGAACTGTCAGTAATTTAGATGAGTAATACAGTGGTTTCTCTATTAAGCCATCATTAGGTCCAATACGTATTTAGTGCATCCCACCCACTGCATGTGACAGCTGAGCAGCACAGACCTCTGTCATTCATCCTCAGGATTGTATAGCTAACCAAGTGCTGTAGCTCTCCATTGCTGTCCAACCTGGTAAGAAAGTATAGTACCACACTGCACGAGCCCAGTCAAAGTTCGAAATATAAAATTCAAGATTCCATGACTAACTGAATGCATATCATTTTACACCATCAAAAGGTCAAAAACGCCTAAGGGAATCCATCATGATTTGGCGAGGCCCTGTACTTTCCCAATCAAATTATTTAAAGACAATAGAATTTCAACACGAAAAATGGGATCTTATCAGTGCTATTTTCTTTCTTTGCCCCTAACCCAAATCTCACATTTTCTATTCTGATCTTCGATGTTTTTCTGTTTAGTTTGACTCTACCATCCAGATTTTAGCATGGAAAATATTAAGGAGAGAACACAGATATTAAGAACAATCAATGACTTAGATGAGTAATACAGTTGCTCCTATATTAAACCATTAGGTCCAATATGCACTTAGTACTTTTAGCATGACACAGTATAAAGTACTTAAAGTTATTTCAGATGGCAATAAAATGCCCTTCCATGATTAGCAATAAACAGAGTGCCAAGCTAGAAATGAAAAAGGACCAACTTCTATTTTTGTCTCTTTTCCAAAGTATACACAGACCAATTTTAGAGAAGTCATTTGTGCTCCCTGTATCCATCCATAAATCCACTTGATAGCCTATCAGTCCTTGAGCAGGAGACCTGGGAATCTCAATGGGCTGACTCTGAACAGGACTCATTTGCAGGAAGAGATGGAGAGAAATATCAGAAAATTAAAGCTAGCCCTCCCTTATCAGAAGGTGAATTCCCACTCCAAAGAAGAATCTATGGTGTATGTAATACAAAAGAATTGCTTTGCAGGGACCAAATTGGAAGAATCCAATGGCCCTTTGCCAATTATTTCTAGACCTCAGTACAGAATTTACTCCATCGATTTCAGGTTTTACAAGGAGGCCACTACGCATTGCTTTCCAGAAATCCTTCTAACTATTTCTAGAGTAATACTGAATACTTTCAGGAAAAACAATTCGTAGAGCCCTCAAATAGAATAAGACATGGGTAAGGATTTTATGGTGACGAAAATAAAGTATTATTTTTCTTGGATCTTACTGCTGTGATACGACTATTTTATAAGGAAAATGAATAAAACTTAGAAAGTAAAAATGTTCCAAAAATACTCAAAAAATGCTAAATGAGTGAGGTGATGAGTTGACTAGTCTGAAAATATACACTATCAGCTAACTTTATTCCCTTTCATTTGCCTTCAAATATGAAGAATATCAATGGAGTTAAAGAGTTGTGGCAATGTTGTCTTGAAACAAAATTTATATATTCTTTCATGGCAAACATTGTTTTTAGCTGGCTGTGGTGATATCTACCTGTAATTCCAGCACTCAAGAAGGTCAGGCAGGATAATCATGAGTGCAACAAGATCAGCCTGAGCTACATAAGGGTCCAGCTTCAGTGACATCCTAAAACCCTATATCAAAAACAATAAGCAAATCCCTATTTCTAACTGAGCTGCTTAGATGCAGCTTAAATGCAAAATCCATTGATGGGAAGATTCATACCACTGCAAGTTTATTACACAAATGCAAACCTGGAGTCATTTAAAAACGCTATTAATTCACTCTTTGGTGGCAAGGATATTAAAATATGCAAATACGCATGCTATAGTTGATCAGTGCTAATCTTTTCATAGCAACTAATGTTTTCTCCCAATAGACACCATCCCTTCTTTTTTAACCTTCACCCAGGAATCACAAAATGTTGAAGAGTGTCACTTTTTACTTTGTTCAATTTCAGAAGGTGGGACTTAAGACTAGAATTCTCACCTTCTCCTTTCCAAAAAATCTTCCTCTACCCCTCTCCTAATTACATGCCTTTACACTAATTTACATGAATTTCAGTTCTTGAAATCATTGGTCTTTGCTGAATGCAAATAAGCACATGAGGAAATTATATTAAGTTTGCACAATTGATCTTTCATCATTTCAAATGGTACCTTTGAGCAGTTCCTGAAATGTCTGTCTGAAATACTCCCAGCGCTGAGTGTCATCAAGAGATGGGGGGTCACACTGAGGAAACCCATTTTCTGTGATGTAAATTACAGGGTTATTATACATATCCTAGAACAAGAAAGCAGAAGTTTTATTCCAAACAGATGTTTAAAAAAAAGCTCATAAAATCAGGTGCAATACCCTCTATCTTCTTGAAGCTACAACCCCAAAACTAGTTTTCATCAAATTGCACTGACCCTATTAACTTAATTTTCCACACACTGACCTTTTATGACTAACAATGGAAAAGCAAAACTGTGCAAATGTCCATGAAGACAGTAAAATGACTCTTATTATAATGAGAAGACAGAAATATCTTTCTGCCCATCAGCATCTGCTCATTGTCACTGCTCCTTCACCCGCTGGTCCTGTGGGCAGGACATTCTCCTCCCCAGAAAGGCAATAACTTGAAATTTTAATTTCAGCTACCTGGATGTCATCCAGCATGGTAAAGACCAAAAAGGTCCCAACCATCTCCTTCTGTAAAATTCCTTTTATACTCATAACTGTAACACTAGCTTGGAAAGTATGTCCAAGCTACATCTATAGCCAAAATAGATTTTAACAACAAATTCTGAACGTGACCCCTATTTTCAAAGTCAGATAATTAATCCTCATCAACTCAAACCCTGCTCTTTTGAAGAAAACAAATAGACATGCCTAAAGCCTTCCATATTCAGGTCCATATTCATGAGTTCAGATGCACATGTACACAAGCCTTCACATCTTAAGATGTACACGAACACATAGATCACTGATGTACCTTAATATATTTCAGGAGCTTACGTATCCCCCATGGCACCACGTAGATCCAACCCACACCCTGCCATGAGGGATTGGAGAAAAACTTGATCTCCACATCCTGAAGAAAGCCTAGTTCTCCTTTCTTGTTCTCTTGGTGCTTGACTAAGCGAGATGTATAATATTGCACAGCAAAGAAATCGGCAGTGCCTTTGATCATTTTCTTCTCTTCTTCTGTGAATTCGGGAAGTCTGGATGATGGATAGCCTTGCTTTTTACTCATGGAGGCAATCTGAGACTTGACAAGTTTGGGGTAATCACCATCAATGAATATGGGTTTAGCAAAGAAATCCAACTGGAAACTGATTGCTCTTTTAACAGCTTCCTGATCAGGCACTGAATTGGGATCTGCTGGTTCTAACCAGCAACAAAACAATGATAAGGAAACCATACCTTTTTGTTCTTTTCGGAATAAAGAATCATAGCTGTGCCAGGATCTGACATGAGCCTTAATCAGATTGTGAGCTGCCTGGTAACCTCCAGTCCCAATGTGAGGTATACCAGGAGCAAAAATTCCCATGTCATATGCCAGCACTGCAAGAGTATTGGGCTCATTTATGGTGATCCACTTCTTGACTCGATCTCCAAAGGTATGGAAACAAAACTGAGCATATTTGTCAAAGGCTTCAATGATTGTCTCTGACAACCAACCTCCTTGGTCTTCTAAAGCCTGAGGCAGGTCGAAGTGGTAGATGGCCACAACAGGTGTAACCCCATTTGTCAGCAAATCATCAATGATCTTGTTGTAATAGTCAATCCCTAAGGGAAGAGAAAAAGAAGAAGAAAAATGATTTTTGGTGTATTTGGCAATACATTTTAAAAGAAAAAGGATCAAGATGATTCTTGTTTAAAATAAGGTTGACTACTTCTTCAGTAGAAATTAATGGAAGTCTAGGAGGAAGCAGAAAGAAATCCAGTGGGAAGGAGGTTTAAGTCAGATGATATAATGGGAAGACACTTGTTCTGCAGAGAGATGCTTGAGTAAGGTGCTCTCAACATTATGAAATGCTCACACTATAGAGGTCATTTTTACTTAGTTCTCTATATACTCATTTTTTGTGGCTTATCCCTCACCCCCAACACAAGCTCCATAAGAAAAAGATCCTTGACTCTCTAGTTCACTTCTGAATTCCCAAGGCCTGAAACACTATGAAAAGTAAGTCAGATAATTGTTAATATTTGTCCCCAGCCTATTAGCTTCACAAGTCTTGAAAAGGAAACTCAGTGAGCATGAAAAATCTACAATCATCAAAGCCAAAATAGCACTAATATGCAGTTTCAGTTACTCTGGATGCTAAGAGAGAAAGATCACTTGGGTCAGAAGTTCAAGGCCTGCCCTGGTTAACACAGAAGACCCTCATCTCAGGGAAGAAAAATCCTAGAAGGTTCCAAACACAATTACTCAGAGTCTTGGGACATTGTGATTTGGTTGGTGATTTACTCTAAAATTCTGACAAAGTCCATGGAAACACACACACACACACACACACACACACACACACACACACACACACACACACACACACACACACACACACACACACACACTCAGCTGGTTCTTCTAGGACTACACATATGAAAGAGTTCCTTTAGGACAACTGCAAAGTTTAGAAGAATGACATTAAGTTGAAGATGCTCTGCTTCAGAAATCAAGGTCAAGAAGATATTTGGTCCACCCTTATAAGACTCCAGCTTAGAACTGCTCTCAGTTTGATGTTTTAAAAGTATAGTGGGAACCGGAGTCTGGAGTTCATATCTTCTTTTAAGACTGAACTGTGAAGCCGGGCGCTAGTGGCTCACGCCTGTAATCCTAGCTACTCAGGAGGCTGAGATCTGAGGATCGCGGTTCAAAGCCAGCCCGGGCAGGAAAGACCGTGAGACTCCTATCTCCAATAAACCACCAGAAAACCGGAAGTGGCGCTGTAGCTCAAGTGGTAGAGTGCTCGCCTTGAGCTGAAGAGCTGAGGGACAGCGCCCAGGCCCAGAGTTCAAGCCCCACGACCGACAAAAAAAAAAAAAAAAAAAAAAAAAAGACTGAACTGTGGTCTTTAAGCCATCACATGTTAGCTCAGCAACCATAGGCAAGTTACCAGATCTCTCAGAATTATCTCTTTCCAGGCTGTAAAATGTATATAATGAGAGATATCCATTCTTGACTATTGTGAGAGTTTAAAGAGTTGGTAAATTGAACATGTGTACAACAGTCCTTAACATATGGTAAGGACTCAGTATAAGTTAGCTATCATTCTAACAATAATTATTGTTATTTTGGTATTAGTACCATCTAGGCTGATGCTGATTAAAAGATGAATATAAATTATTCAGATAAGGCATGGAGAAAAGTGTAATCCAGGAAGAGCAAAATCAAAAATGAATATGCAAAAGGCCAAAGGAGATGTAAAAGTAAAGACTACTCAAATGAGAAAAAGAGATGACTTAACTCAAGCTTGTTGTAAGGAGAGGCTCAGCCGCTGTCACTCACATCTGACAAAAACTCGAAGGCAATCAGAAAAAGGGAAAGGCTTATAGGCTACAAAAGGAAGGCTCTAGTCATGCTCTGACTCAGGTTGTTGGCACAGGAAGCTGGAGGATGGTTAGCTAGAAGTGAGTTATCTTCTGTAATTCATTTGGAGAACTTCTTTGGCTTTTTCTGGTGGGTCTTGGGTTGGAAGCAAGGCTGTACGTAGCAGCCTAGTCAGGACTATGTCCTGACTTCTGGACTGACTTGCTATAAAGGTTGTGGTTTAGCTATCTGGGCTTCCTATATGGGTTACTGCTTTATTTTCATGTATTGCCTGGACATTTTATATATATTCTTTCTCTTAAAGAGCTCCTTCTGGGAACTGAAAGTTTGATATAAGGATAGCATGGCACTCATCAGAAGTGGAGGAAGACTAAAGAAGGGTAAGTATTGTAAACAGAAGTGAAACTATGCAAAAAACACATCATTGTTCTGCCTGTCTGTTTTGAACACCAGCTCAAATACTTTGTGAACTTAAACACAGTGGAAATCATACATGATAACTCCATGTTTGAGAGACATATCTTAATGCTATTTCAAACTTGGTGGGCAATATAACTCCTTCCCCTCCTAATCATGTCCATGCCCTAACCTGTAGAATGGGAACACAGGTTATCATATATGGCAAAAAGAAACTGTGGGCAGATGCAATTAAGGAAAAGACCTTGAGATAGGAACCTTCCCCTAGGATGTTCAGGTGGACTTAATATAGCCGCATGAGTCTTGAGAAAGTAAAACAGAAAAATGGATCAGAAGGATGCAACAGCAAAGAAAAGATGGGATAAAGAGCAACTTCATAGAGACTCAACCACTGTTGCTGACTTTAAAGATAAGAAAGGTAGCCACAAGCCAAGTGATGCAGATGTCCCTGAAAAGCTGAAAATGGTCCTTAGCTGAAAGCCAGAAAGAAATGAGAACCTCAGTCCTTCAATCATAACATGCTGGATTCTGTCAAAAGCTGAATAAGCCAACAAAACAGACTCTCCAAATTCATTCTTTAGAAAGAGGCAGAGCCCTGCAGGCACTTTGCTTCAGTCCTAGAAAGGCCCATGTCAGGATCTTTATTTTTCAATGAAAGAACATTCCACAAAGCCATCTCTGGACTTGTATTTTTTTCCTGTACAAATGTGATATCGAAAATTGTATGATGGATAACATTTTATTGATACATGTGAGTTTTCTTAGCTAACTCTTTCCATTGACTTTGAATGTTGAAATAATACTAGCTTTTGTTATTGAATGGATGTCATGGTTTTGCTTAATCCTAACTCTAAGCTCTAGAATAGGCATCTTTGTTTCTAATAAACATCTGAGAAAACTGTTATCAGCGAGTCTTAGTGTCATCAAATGGAACTGCCAGTGTTTAATCCCAATCTCTCACTGGAAGGGCTACGCTGATCCCTCTACAACATACCACTAATTATATATACTAATGTTCCTGAACCAGAAATACGGGACTCTGTTTCAGTAACCTTAGCATTCACCTCCTGAGACCTAATCACAATATCAGATCCTGTTTTATATTCCTTTTTGGAGTAGTCATTAATGATAGCCAGAAATACAATTCAAGCAACATAATAATCATGAGGTGAAATGAAGATAAATAAAATTTAAATAATAGAGCATTGCATAATTAATATTTAATATCCAAGAACTGAGCACTTGGCTTCTGGTTTGTATAGTTTATTTGATTTTGTAATGAAACTTTTCCATAAGGAGGTAGAACAGGACATCAAAGAGCAGATCACCTCACTCAGTCACCTGAAAGGATCATGGATTAGTCACCTGGCCTGTCTCCACCTAAGTTTACTTGTTTGTGAAAGAGCATTGTTTATGGTACTGTCTCATGACTTATATGACCTTGAACTGAGAACAATTTGTCATTACGCTTTTAGCTTTATCTAAGGCTGGTACTTTAACCCTAATGAAATCTCTGAACAAACATGTATTTTTAAGTGATTATTAGTTACCAATCTAGAAATCTTAAACTCTGAGAGGTCATATGGACCTTTTTCTGTTTCCAAATGATTATTTTAAGAATTCAAACCTCTGTAGATTTCTTTCATCATGGATACTGTATTCTCTGCTTTAATACTCTGAACATTGGTCTTTCCTTTGTCCCATCAACTGTGTCTGGGAGTGAAGCAGGATTATGTAGAACAAATAAATAAGTGAGCTAGGGGCATAACTCAAGTAAGTAGAGCACTTTCCTAAACAATAGAAGAACCCGGTTCAATTCCTAGTGCTCCCTGCCAATAAAAAAAAAATAGGGAAATTGTCTTAGAATAGGAGAGGACTACAACCTGGGGAAATAATGCTCCCACTTAAAATTTTAAAAAATTACCTCTAACAAACTATGAATACTGCAATGCTCATGAACTTAACCAGAATCTTTGGTCTATGTCTCTCAAGACTCATATCATCAATTTTATTCATTGTTCTACCTTCTCTTATCACACTACCTATATTAGTCATTCACTGCTGCTATTATGAATTACCACAAAGAAATCAACAAAAATTTATTATTTGGACTTCTAGAGGTCAGAAGTCCAAGTCTCAGTGTTTTAAAATCAAGATGATGGTAAGGTCACTTCTGCCTGGAGAATGTCAACTAGAATACACTTTCTTGGCTTTTTCAGAAGGCACGAGCTTCCTACATGTCTTCTTTTATAACTCTCTCCTCCATTTTCACCCTCATCTCTCCATTTTGTTGTCTCTTTTGGTCCTTATATCCCTTCTCTGTGACTCTGGTCCACCATTTTATAAAGACCCAAGAGATTACACAGGTAATCCAAGATAATCTCATCTTTGGATCCTTCAATGTAAGATTCCTTTTACTGGTGAGCTAATATTATCATAACTTCTAAGATTCAAGACAAGGTTTTAGGGAAGGGAGAAATTCAGCCCACCTACCATAATGCTGAACATACAATACAGTACAAGTTGGATGTTTGTACAGTAAATTTATTCGTACAATTCCTTCTAAGTATCTTATATTTTAAGTCTTAAAGTGAGCAAGATATTCTGCTCAAATATTTCTATTTTTTCTTTCCAAAATGCAAATCCCCTACTAATCACCTGAAACTTGTATTTGTGGCAGATAGGAAAATGCATTTGGACAGTTGAGAATGCAGAAATAGGTGAGTTCAGTTGAAAGCTCAATCTCTTCTTGTTAATCCCTGAAAATTTGACATTTGAAATAGAAAAAGCTATGTAACAATTTCACTTTGTAAAATATCCCTCCGGTTTGGAGATGTAGAATTTTACCAGGTTCCAATCAAGCTTTAAAATGGGGAGTCAAAAACACAGAAAGCAATTCCTTGGAAAGGATAGTAATAAGGATCTCCTACTTCTTTGCATGCTCTTTGAGAAAATGTTTAAATGGAGAAAAAAAATGATGGCCTTTCTGAGCGAAAACAGTTCCAATTGTTTCAACAGATCACTGCACAAGAATGAACAACTGCTTATTGAAATTCCGCCTCCTGGACGCACCTCCATTGCCCTCTTGTTCTGGGAAAAGTGTATAATACTAATCAGCTGTGTCTTTACAGAAGCTGAGGCAAACACAAAACAGTGCCCTGGGCAGGTGACTTCCACGTGAGCTTGGCATGAGTGACTTACCTTGCTCTTCAGGAGATTCTGGCACCTCCCTCTCCCTCAGCCTGACAAGATATTGTGTCCCCACGAACCTTAAAAGGCTTATATGTTGTCATATCAATATAGGTCCACAATATTTTATCTAAAAGTCTTAGGGAAAATGTTTTGAGTTCTAAAAAGGAAACTTGGAGTATAGGTCCTAATAGTAACACCGACAATGTGTCTGGATCAGTATTCCTTTCCTTTTTATAGAGAAAAATACATAGTCTCATCAAACAGAATAACCCAACGTCATCCCATTCTTTTATAGTTACACAGCAATTCAAGTCAGCTTATACTTTCAGTTTTGTTGTAGAAAAATTCCTTAAATGCTGGGCACTGGTGGCTAATGTCTGTAATCCTAGCTATTCAGGAGGCTGAGACCTGAGGATCGAGGTTCAAAGCTAGCCCAGGCAAGAAAGTCTGTGAGACTCTTATCTCCAATAAACCACTCAAAACCCAGAAGTAGCGATGTGGCTCAAGTGGTAGAGTGATGTGGCTCAAGTGGTAGAGTGCTCGCCTTGAGCTGAAGAGTACAGGGACAGCGCCCAAGCCCAAAGTTCAAGCCCCATGACAAACCAAAAAAAAGAAAAGAAAAGAAAAATTCCTTAGAGCCTTCGGAATCTTGGAATTTCAGATAAAATTTGGCATGGTGATCTGCACGTTTGCATTCTCAACAAAATGTCATTACTGTCCTTAGATGATTTCCTGATTGATACTGGCCTAGTATTAAGAAACCATTTACTGAACACATCCCTCCTTAGAAAGAATTAGACTAGGTTAACGAGATGAAAAAAAGGAAAATTATCTGCACATTAGGCTGTCTTATACCTGTTTTGTGAGTACTTAGCACAGTCCTCTGTGCACAGGGAATACTTGGTGCACTTTGCTAAATGAAATTAAACTCAAGGTGCTCATAATCTTACAGAAGACATAAAAACAGTAACAACAAAGATAGATGCTATGAGGATAGAAAGAAAGAAACTTATTTTTAAGCAAGAAACTTTAAGGAAGAGGAAGGATCTATACTAGATCTGACCAGGAGGCTAGACCATTGCCAGGTATAGTTGGGAGTTAAGGAAAGGCCATTTGAAGAATGAAGAAGAATATCATAATTCCCACAAAGATTGATAAGTGCATAGTATGTTTAATAAATGATGGGTTATGGGCTTGGGAGATTGCATGGAGGAATTGCATGGGTTATACACAAGAGGAAATTGCAGCCTGCAAAGCTTTAGAGGTGAGTTAAGACCAAGGCCAATAGAACATGAATGATATAGGAAGGAGGCCAGGCTGTATATTCTGGCTTGCCATCACTAAATTCTTTATCTTACTTTGATTTAGCAAAAGATGACTCAAACAAATATAACTTAAGCCAAGCTTTAAGAAAATTGTTGTGACTGTATTATATAGAAAGAATTGAAGGACATAGAGTGAGAGAGAGTGAGAGAGACAGACAGACAGACAGACAGAGATAGACAAAGACAAAGAGACAGACAGAGAGACAGAGACAGAGACAAAGGACAAATAACCATCAAGTGCATCAGAAAGCCCTAGTTGAGAATAATCAACACCTAAGCCAAGAAAGGAGTAGAGAAGTTGATGAAGGAATAAGGTACAAGCATAACAAAATGGACCATACTGAGCAACGGAGAACTACGAAGCAAAAAATGAAAAGATGCAAAGATTGCTTTTAGCGTTTAGACCTTGGGATATGATGGTATCAAAGGGAAGAGAAAGTACAGATGATAACTGAGAAAGACAGAAAATTAGGAATTCACTTTTAACCTAAACGGTAAATTATCTTCTGTTCAAAGTCAAAAAGTACATGTGATATCCAGAAGGTAGACATTTAACCAAGAGCCATGAGTTAAGAGATACTCACTTCAGAATTGAAAACATTAAGGAACCGCTCACCAATCCCCTCATTTTGCCTGGCCCTATTTAGAGGCAATTACCTGAAGGCTTACGTTTCATGTGAGTCCATGAAGTTGTAGCTTTATGTCAAAATGAACATGATGTTCATGAAATGAACATCACAAATGTACAAACTCACCAAGAAACTGTCCCTATGGGATGTAACACTGTCCCTATGGGATGTAACACTGTCCCTATGGGATGTAGACAATCATAGAATTTACTCATAAAGAAGCCCAGAAAGTATCTGGGCTGTAGAAAGTCTGATGAGGTCAGAAGGTATTCTCAATCTCACATTATGGAAGTAAGTACTCATCCTTCATTTAGGATACTTGCCTTAAAATTTATACTCAAGGCATCACACTTGCTTCATCTAGTCCTGGCCTTAGGAGTAGTATAAACTCTTTTCTAAGACAAAGTAATAATGTAGGACCATTATTAAGAAGCCATATGTTGTAGAACAGAGCTTGGCAAACTTTTCCTGCAAAGGACCGCATAGTGAATATTTTAGGCTCTACAGGCCATATGGTCTATGCCCCAACTACTTAGATCTGCCATTATAATAGGAATGCTACCATAGATGATGTATAGTGAGTGGGCATGGCAATGTTCCAATAAAACTTTATTTACAAAAACAGGTGCCAGGCCAGATTTGGCCCTCAGGTCTTAGTTTTCCCACCCTGTTATGTAAAAGGATATACCCAGACCTTAGGTTTAATTTCCATATTACCATTTTCCAAATATGTGGACTTAGACATACCCTTGGCAAACTAACATCATTATAATCTCTGCTGATTATGAGGAGTAGAGAAAACATGTGTTCAAATGCCAAATAAATAAAAGACACTCAATAAGGTGAAGAATGGCTCTTTCAAATACAAGATATAATAAAAGAGTAATAGTATACGTGTTGAATGCTTTTGATACATGGGCACTGTGTCAGCCCTTTACAAAGGGTAAATTTATCATTTACTCTTCCAATAACTTTCTGGAGCATGAACTCTTGCAGCATTCCTTCCTACTCCTGGAAAGGCAGAGGCCCTGAGATGTTCAAGAGACACTTATACACAGAGTAAGTGATGCAGCTGGTACTCCATCTCAAGCAAATATACCCCAGGGATCTAGGTGCTAATCCTTACCGTAGCTAATTAGCTCTACTAATTCAGCTCAGTTAAAATGTTCAGAACCCTCTCAAGTTTTTTAGAGATTTTTCGCCCTAAGTCTTTATAGGATAACACAACTGAAAATAGTTTAGTACAACTTTCTGATATAGCTCTTCAAATCATCAGTCAGAGAACAACGTATATAAATAAAACCTTATTCCAAACTCCCCTAGACTGGTCTCTTCCTCTTCTTCCTAGGAAGAGCTCAACAGCCAAGAACATCCAAAATATTATTGAAAGCAAATGCAATCCCATTTTGAACATTTGATCCTGTAATCACTCTAAAAACTTGTAATTTCAAAGCTACCCTGTAGAATAGCATACTGGATTAATTATGCCAGACTGCAGCAATAACCTTGAATTAAAGCTGCAACCTTCTATTTTTAAGAAACACTTGCCTTTCTGGTTGATGAAACCTGTCGTCCCATCAGGTAACAGACGTGACCAGGAAAGAGAAAAGCGGTAATGAGTCAATCCAAGCTGTTTGATACATTTCAAATCTTCCTCCCACAGAGTGTAGCTGCCACAAGCGACATCACCAGTCTGGTTCTGGAAAACTCTCTCTCCTCCCTGATGGGTGAATGTGTCCCAGACACAAGGGCCTCTTCCATCTGCAGCCCAGCCTCCTGAGAAAAGGAAGAAAATGAAACACTTACACTCTTGACATCAACAGGCATATGTAGAATGTAAATATTTGTCACCAAAACAACATACCTCATTAACTCAATGTACCATATTCATAACTTTAAAATATGCTTTAAAGTAACATGCATGAGCGGGTTGTGTGCTTAGGTGTCCTTGATCCCTGAAGCTGACTTGTGGCAAATGAAAAATTATTGCACAGTGCTTCTGCATAGCAGGCTTTCACGGTTCATTATCTGAAAATCTCTCAGCTGGTAAACAGAGGCAGTCACCAGTTTATGGATGCCTGGGTCAACATCCCCTTCTTGGAAAACTTTCTTCTGGCCATGATTATCATGTCTTGTGCTTATTTATCAGAAGTTGTGGGACCTTTGCTCTAGTCCTCAACACTTGAATGCTATCCTCCTGTCATCTGACATTAGAGCCTGTCGTGATCTCATCTACAATTGGTGGCGAGGCCTTAATTTCCACTGCTGATGATACTTGCTTGTATCTGAAATGTATTCGTTCATCCTCCATTAATTCAACAAATGTCCATTTCAAGCCTTCTGCCTAGCACAGGAGATTTGAGGGTGTCCGATGCTCTCCCCCATGTCCTTGGGGAATGTACCTAACAGGTGATCGCAAAATAGCCAGTGTAAAGCCCTGGACTTTACAGAAACCAGAAAGACATTTATCCTACCATGAGCAGAGTCAGAGGAGATCTCTTTCTGCTTACTGTTTCTGTAAACTTAACACTGGTCTAAAATATGAAGTCTATCAACTTAGAAAGTTAATGTGTAGAACATTTTATTTTTGTCAGGGCTTTTGTAGTTTAAGAGTAGGCATACCACATTGTGATGATGGCACATGGTTACAATCTCAACTACATAGAAGTCATATGAGAATGACACAGGACTGACGCAAGCCCTGGACCAAAAGCACAAGCCCCTATTGAAAAAAATAACTAACACAAAAACAAGCAGTGGGGAACTGGGACTGTTGGTCTAATGGTGCAGTGCCTGCCTAGCAAGTACAAAGCTCTGTTTTCGAGCCTAGTACAGTAGCCCCCACCCCACAAAAAACCAAAAACAAAACACAACATTGCTGAATCTGTTAACAGTTTGCAGAGACTGGTAAAGAAAGCATTTCTTCAATACGTGTGCTACTCATCATAGAAGAGCCACAGTTTGCGCAGTTTAATCTGCATTAACATTTTCTCTCTCATTTACTTAGGGCTGGACCACAATCAAAATGATAAATGCAACGATGGCTTATAATACTTGTCAATGTCTGTGGTATAAATGCTCCCACTATGGCTAGTTTCTATCAACCAATTGGGATGTAACCAAAGGCAGAGGTGGGGAAAGAGGGGCAGTAGTACCTTTTACAAGTACCACCTTGTACATTCTTGTTACTTTGTCCTTCTCCAGGGATAAAACACCTACACAAACTCAAGAATACAACTAATGGTAAAATAATTAGGAAGTAATGATTTTGCATATTAATTTAGTTTGTAATATCAATTTTATACTTAACAGTTTATATAATTTTTGTACTCACAAAATATATAATTTGTTTTAAAAAAATGGCCCAAAATTCAACTATAGGCTCTCATGAACCAGCTCAGCTGGTCTGACATCACTGACAAATAACAGCGCCTAAGATCACACAGTAAAAGTGCCAAGATATACACTCAGCGCACGGAGGTTCAAATCCTGCTTAAACATGCTGCCCTTCATGATAGAGACTCAGAGTAATGAAGGAGCCGTCAAAGGGTGACCCTGCTACTCCATGCTTGAAGGCAAACCGGTGCAGAACACAATGTTTTTGGAAAGCAATCTCTGCACATAACTAAAACAGGTTTTGATCATTTCAACAGGCAAACGATACTGAGTAGGAAAATGTACTTAGATGGAGCGGCTCATTCTTCACATATACTGTAGAGATGGAGACACGCGGAGATTCATGACCTCTGCAGAGCGAGACCGACCATTGAGGCACGGACAGGGACGTTTATTTACACTATGTACACCAGAAAAGGGTCCTGAGCCTGCCTTGTCCTGGGCTAGATCCCAGAACCAAGAGCAGCCCCGGCCACCACACCTCCGAGCCTCCAGCAGGCAGTCCTGACCCCCGACCTTGGTCAGTGGGTCTGCAAACCACTGACGAGTCAGTCTGCAAACCTCCAACCCCAGACCTCCAGACCTCCAGAGGGGCAGGCTGCTCCCTGTCTCCCCTTCCTCCTCCTCCGCCGGCCTCTGCTCTCCACAGGCCTGCCCGGCCCGGCCCTGCCCCGGGAGGCCTCTCCACAGGCCTCTCCAGAGGAGGCTGGCCCCCGAGGCCTGCCCGGCCCGGCCCGGCCCCGGGAGGCCTCTCCACAGGCCTCTCCAGAGGAGGCTGGCCCCCGAGGCCTGCCCGGCCCGGCCCGGCCCCGGGAGGCCTCTCCACAGGCCTCTCCAGAGGAGGCTGGCCCCCGAGGCCTGCCCGGCCCGGCCCGGCCCCGGGAGGCCTCTCCACAGGCCTCTCCAGAGGAGGTTCCAATGACCTCCGGAGGCCTGCCCTGCCGGACCCGGCCGCTTTCCCCTCCCGCCGTCCCTCCTCCACGCCCTCCCCACTCTCCTCCCCCGCAGTAACTAACGTTTTCCCTTCCTCTTCTCCTCAGGACTTCCGGTCCCCTGCAGACTGTTTTCCTCAGGACTGCTCCGGGTCTCCTCAGGACTCCGGTTTTTCTCCAACCCCCCTAACTCCCCTCACCTCTCCTCCGGCCTCTGGCTTTTCCCCTACACCCCCCGGGGCGTTGCAGCCTATATACACGTAGACCGGCTGAGCCCGCCCCCCGCCCCACTAATGGTTTCAAACCACCATTCATGCTCTTCCCCCAAGCTGCCCCTCTCCAATCCCAGTCCGCAGCTCACCCTGTGGGACTCGATGCCCCACCCCCTCCAACAGCAGGCCCCGCCCCCTATCGGCGGCATGGCACGCCCCTTTCAGCAGCTGCCACGCCCCTCTGGTGGTGCCCCTGGGGCGGTGACATCAGCTTCTCAAAGCCCTGCTCTCTCCCGTGACCTGGTCTGTGGAGCTGTGAGGCTTGCCCTGCCCTGCCCCCTCCACCAGGGGGACCTCCAAGGGGCCTCCAAGGGGCCATGCTGACTATTGGGCCCTGCTGATTATCAGGGCCCCACGGGTTATTACACGTGTCCAAACAGCATCATGTCAAGGTGAATCTAAGATTTGACAGGAAAGCTAATCATGATAACTGAAATTTTGGTGAGATCATACTGTGGGCAGAAGTCACTAAGTTTGTAGCATTAAGCTTGCTGAGTATGTTACATTAATATCACTTATTTAGTAGAAACTTCTTTTAATTGCAGTTTTGCCTATATTGGTGTTTATGGTAAAGAAAATGACTATTTACAGCAAGTTATATACTATAACCCATATGCAAAACAACAACTACAATTCTTGGGTGAAATAAGGAAGTATATTTCTAAGTGGTTCATTCACTGATTATAAGTTAGATAACCTAGAAAATAGGTGAGAAGAAACATATATACACTTGAGTAGTGAAGTAGACATTTACCCTGAGAATGTACTAGAAGTTTCAATATATGTAGGTACAAACTGTCCATAAATACTGGCAAAAGGCCTGGAAAGCAAAAGTAGAAATATACTGTTAAGACTTTGGTTTGGTTTTGTTTTTTGTCAGTCATGTGGCTTGAACTCAGGGCCTTTATGCTGTCCCTGAGCTTTCTTGCTATAAGCCTAGAGTCATAGCTCCACTTCTAATTTCGTGACAGATAACTGCAGATAAGAGTCTCATGAACTTTCCTGCCAAGCCTGGCTTCAAACTACAATCCTCAGATCTCAGCCTCTTGTTAGGATTACAGGTGTGAACCACCAGCACTCAGCTTTGTCTTAAATTATACATGAAATGGATTTTATAATTTGACAGTGGCAAGTTAGGTGTGTCTGTGTGTGTTGGTATGTATGTGTGTATATCCCTGAATGAAACAGTAATTAAATAATGATAGATAATAAGCCTACTAAAAATACATAATGGAATCATAAAAACATAAGTCAGAAAAAAAGGTAAAAGAGAATAAAAGAAATAAGATAAAAAAAATAGCAGCAAGTTTAGGTTTAAATCTAACCATGTCAATAATATCATTAAGTATAGATGACTGAAAGCCCAGCAATTATCAGACTGAATAAAAATCTACAACTCAGACATGACTGGAAAAAATTTACTTTAAATAGGCACAAAAAGATTTAAAATAAAAAGATAAAAATGTAACAAAACTGGAGCAGTTATATTAACATTAGCATAGATCTTCAGGGTAAAATATCAACCAAGTATAAAGAAAGTCATTTCATTAATATTAAAGCAATCAGTTTTCAAGAGTTCATAAGCAATGTTATATGATTATGCACTTAATAATAAAGTTTTCATACATAAAGCAAAGCTGAAAGAACTCTACGAGGTTGACAAGTCTATAATTATATTTGGATATTTCAATTAATCGATCAAAAGGTCCACAGAAAAATGGACAAAAGATTCAAAGAGTTCTTTCCCAGTTGGAAAAACGTGTGTTTAGTAAACGCTTTTAAAATATAGATATTAAATTCTGAGAAATGCAAATGAAAAGCACACTCAGATGCCATTCTATACCCACAGAGTTGGCACAGTGTTTCAAAGTTGGGCAATATCAGAGGTTGAAGAGATTGTTGCTTGGCAGCAATGTGTATCCATTGCTGCTGAGAGTGAGATGTGGAAATATCTAGTAAAATAGAGAAACACAGGCCAGTAACTCACATACTATTATAAACTCTACAGATATGGACCAGAGAGACCTATACAGCCATGACTGCAACCAAAATAAAATAAAATAAAATAGTGAAAGACAAAACCACTGGAAGCAACCCAAGACTCCTTAGTCCTAACTATGCATCTATATGTGCATATACACACATGTATACACACATATATATTTCCAAGTTTATA